ACATCACGCAAGAATCAGACAGTGATGACAACAAAGACGAAGAAAAGACCGTGGCATGCTTAACTACCACCACGCGTGAAGAAAAGATAATTGATGTGAGAAGGTTTGGATCATACAAGAAAGCGTTATGAGTTACCGCGTGGGTGCTGCGTTATATAGGAAACCGACCAAAAGAAAGGAAAATAGATTCGCTGACATGAGAAAAATTGGTCAAGGCAGAGTTTGTGCTAATAAAGCAGGAGCAGAAAACGCTTCAAAATGCAGTGACACGAATATATGACAACATGAATCTGTACGGCACGAACATCTTCGAAGATGATCAAGGTGTCTTAAGAGAAAAAGGGAGGCTTCAGCGGAGTGATTTAAACTTTGATGAGAAGCATCCTATTATTTTACCAAGAGAAAGTCACTTTTCAGAACTCATAGTTCTGTACGCGCTTCAAGTGACAATGCACGGTGGCGTTGCGGCAACATTGACACATCTAAGAACGAAGTTTTGGATTGTGCGTGCCCCACAGATGGTGAAATACGTGATAAAGAAAGGCATCACCTGTAGGAGAGTCAATTCTAGACCAATGGCACAAGAATTTCCACCACTACCAGCTGACAGGATAACACAGACGAGGCCATTTGACACAGTTGATATAGACTTTGCTGGACCGCTAAATTCTCGAGAGGAGAAAGGCGAAAAATTTACAAAGTTTTACATTGTGATATTTACGTGTGCAGTAACAACAGCCATACCACTGGAGTTGGTGAAGAGGATGTCATCAGAAGCGTTTATACAAGCATTTCGAAGATTCGTAGCTAGAAGAGGATTGTGTACAACTATTTACAGTGATAATGCAACAGCATTCAAGAAATCTGAGAAAGAGATGAACAAGGCATTAAAGATGGAAGATGAAGGGTTCAACAGTATACCAGTAACCTGAAAATAAAATGGAAGTTTATCGTAGAGTTAGCTCCATTGCGGGGAGGATTTTATGAAAGACTGATCAGAAGCTTTAAGACATCCATAGCAAAAACTATAGGTGCTCGACTTTTGGATGAAGAAGAACTACGGACTGTGGTTGTTGAAGCAGAAGGAGTACTTAACAACTGGCCTCTTACTTATGTGTATGACGATCCTAACGAGCCGCAACCCATCACACTGGCGGACGTTATAGGAGGCAGGCAAGCAATGAACAAGCAGGAAGAAAACAGACTCGAAGAATACAGTTTGCTTAATTACTGGAGTGCAAGAAAAGAGGCAATGATAACATGGTGGACCAGATGGAAAAAGGAGTACCGGAGGGAGCCTAAGTGTGCCAGCAGAAAAACAGAGCGTCACGCAAATGTACAAGAAGATGTACTTCTGAAGATGTACTCTGCAAGGTCGAAAAGATTTTCCCAGGCAAGGATGGACTAGTGAGAACATGCTTGCTTCGTACACCTGAAAGAAAATTAGTCAAGAGGCCGATTCAACTGTTGTATTCGCTCGAAAGTTTCGGTTGAATCTGGCCAGCGGGAAGATGTAGAAAGCAGATTGAAGTTGGAGCTTAGAGGCGAGGAAGAAGAGGTATCCAGGGGCACGCTCTGCATATTTTTTTTCCTGCTCTGACAACAATAAACCGAAGACGTATCGGTTCTGCAGTCTCTCTGGTCCTTCTGAAACAATGGGTTAGTACTTTATAATGAGCCCTATCACGGTTTGTGGTGCAGTAGCGTCGTCCGAAACATGTAACATTGTGGGGAAGTTATTTATGCAAGATATCTCGGGGTGGAGTGAATGATACGAGCGCCTCGTACAATCAGCAATGCCACCATTTCGAATAATTATCGAAAAAGCTCTTCTGAACTTGAAAAAAACTAGTAGTAGCCCTGCCTGAGGTCAAAAATATCAGTAGAAATTATACACATTTCTTTAAAAATTACACATGCAGGTAAACACTACAGTGTAACATAACCGAAACGTCATATTTGACGATGATTGACATATTCCACATAAATCCATCAGTGTAGTTTTCGACCATTTTAGAAGACCAGTTGTCATATGCAGATGCGTCTAAAAAACCGACTACTTCATATATTCTGCGACCTATTGAAACAAAAACTAGCAGAGATCACATTAGGTAGCAAAGTCTGGATCACAGCTGAGTAAATGGGAACCTATCTGGCCCTGGCTTTGTTACCCTCTCACCATCTCATTCGTTTTATTCCCAATTCTCGCTATATTATGACATACATGGCTATGCTTTCTGCTGTTCATTTTTCATGTTATGAGTACACGTTTCGCTGTTCTTTCCCTCAATGCGCAATTATTTCGCGGTATTTGAATATTTTCTGTTTATCTTGCATTTGTTCTTCTTTTTTCTGCTATTTATGTAGTTATGACGACAAGCTCGCTTGCGAAGCTGCTCTTCTTCAGGTCAAGTCGCTTATCGCACCATGCCCCCAAGTTCAGGAGGGTCATTATCACCTAATCAAAATGTGCCTGCCGCAATATCAAAGATGGCTGAATTCTCTGCTTAGCGTACAAGATTTTGCAGAACCAGTGCATAGGTGCCCCCCCCCCCCGCACCAGACGGTAATTCGGGCTCCATCTCATACGGGCCTCGATGGCAATGATCCGGCCGTTGCCATTATCTGCGCGCTTACTCTCCGGGCACAATTTTCGCCCCCTTACGATTCAGACCTCAAACCAAGTCCCACTGGCACAATTAAGAAGATCGCTCAGTTTTATCAATTCGCCATGAGCTCTATTTCAAACCCTGTAAGGACCACACTAAGGTGGAGGAGTGGGCCCTCCTTCACCTTTACACGAAAAACTTTATTGTGCCCGGCAATGCCGAAACATCTCAACCCCGCTGGCACGGAAAAATTCCCGCGCTGTGAGGAAAGTTCCTGTGACATTTTCAACATAGTGTTGGCATCTTAGAAAACTCCCAACCTTACTCCTGTACTCAATCCTTCCCGGAAGCACTGGGGGGTGGCTCTGCTCTGCTTTTCTGGCCTGACGGCCCAACGGGACTTGGTTGAGCGTGGCAGGGGTGCGGCCGACACAAATATGTTCCCGTAATGAGTGCCCAACAATAGTTTCTGTATGGGGAGGCCCCTTAAGAACCACTCTCCACTCTCCCTGTACATACCTTATAGAATTGAATGTTTTTATACACGTCTTCCACTTGTTTTCTAGCCGAGCGCGAGTGCGCAGTGTCCACTGGTTGTCGAGGCAATCGCGTGCGCGACGACATTGGCGCGCTTCTTTTCTCATCGCCGGGACCCCTCGAGAGAGTTAACAATAGCCCTGCAGAACATTCGCTCCCTTAACGCCCATTGAAAAGACGTCCAACACGATCACGTACTGGCTTCAGTGGACGAGCTCTGCTTGACAGTGACATACAACGTTGGCAACGTGCACATCGAAGGCTACGACGTGACCAAGTGCATCGATGATGCAGAGAGTCGTGCGGAAGGTCTCACAAAATACGTAGAACTACCCAAATCAGCCAAATATCTTGAATTATCACTGACAAACAAGTGCCATGGTTGGTAGAATGCTGCCGTGAAGCTTTCCAATGGACTTCTGGTCACGGAAGAACCTCGCGCAGAACTTTTCCAAAGGAGAAATCACCACGTACATCAAGAAGGCAAGACATCGATACAGAATTGTTTTCAAACATGATCCACTCGTATTCGTTGAAGATTTCAACGTGGACATCATCGCAGTTGAAGTCTGCTTCTAGGTCTCGCAGATGATATGCCCTTACGTGCTCTGGTACAGCTCGTACGACGACAAACGCCCGAAAGCCATCAGAGGTATCTCAAGGGGCAGGGCCTTCTACATCTTTCAACAACAATTTATCATCCCAGATGCTCTTGCCACGTACTTCACTGTACAGTAAATTGTAATATTTAAAGAAAAATTTTCCCACGTGCAGCTTTCTGATCGGCAATTTATTTCTTGTATGCAATTTTATCGATATATAAGTGATTACTTCTGGCACGTAGATTAGGGTATATAGTTTCATCGATATGTAAATAATAAAAACCGTGTACATAAGTGTATATACGATCAGCCATACTAAAACGTGTCGAGTTTTTACATGATATGTGGGTGAATGTTTCACGGTTTTACGGAATAACACTGCAGCTTCGCCCCACTCGTCCTCATTGACTTCGTGCAGATGGCGGGACTTTTTTTCTCGGTAGTCATTCATTCGCTTTCCGCCTTTTTTACTCCTCGATCATAACAGAACCAATGTAGAATTTCTAAGTGAGCACGCACTACAGAAACATAGGAAACGACAGCACTGAATATACTCGTCTACTAAAAATTGGTTCCAGCATTCACCACACAGGTCAACTAAAACACACGGGCGCTGAACTCACTGGATGCCCCAATGTTTCAGATACTCTTATTAACCATCTGAACTCTGCGTTTCGCCAGTGAAAGTGGGGTCGCCAATTCACACTGGTGATACTTTTCAATTTACAACAAATGACAAAGCTCTGGTGCAACAGCTATGTTGTAAATAAATAATTGTTTCAGCTACGTTTGGTGCACTTGGTTGAAGCATGATCCATGCAAATGACAGAAGAAACAGACGCCGGGCTCGTGCATGCTGCGAAGGCAACACGCCAGCTACCAATGCTTGTAAGCTATATGTACCAATTATGCCATTCGTTTAAATATGGTGGAATACCAAAGTCTTTTTACATTCAGGCCAATAAGACGACTCTCGTCTGTGTCCTTTGTGTGCCTTTCTTATTTGCACGACCATTAGGGTGGTTTCTGTGCACGCTTCAAGCTTGGTTAATAAATTGACAACGAAAGGGGGTGCGAGAGCATGAAAGATGTGAACACTGCTAACGAAAATGGAATGGTTAAAAACTGAGTTCAACAAAACTGTTTTACGTTTTGTTAATCTTACAGAGTTGTATGTTCTAGCAGTAGCCAATACGTCATCTCGTTACCCACAGATTCCTTGAAATTACTAGTCATAAGAAGGCTAACTCACCCACTCCTGGTATTCCTTCACTTTTTGCCACGACTGCGCAGTGACGCGTTGTAAGGAGAAACGTGTAGTTTGTAACAGCCATTTTGCCTGAAAACCGCAGAGTAATATATATATATATATATTGTAATGACGAAAACCGAAACTGGAACTCTCTCTGGCACAGACTCGCATGCTAGGAAGGAAGAGGAGGAAGACGAAGCAGAATAAGAACAGCCGGCCTGCAGCAAAGGCGTTGTCTCTTATTTCTCGTCGCTTACAATGGCGCAGTCGACGAAGAAAACGGCTTACGTCTCGGTTTCGTCATCCAGAACGCCCGCCGACGTGCAGCCGCGGTAAGCGTCGCTTGAGGACGGCGTCAAGCCCTCCTCGGCAGCTGTTTACTGACACCACCGTTCGGGGACGGCGTCAAGGCCTCCTCGGCGGCTCCAGCACCCGTTACCGGTACCAGTTCACGATAAGGAACGCCGTCACGCTTCTTCGCTGATGGAACCCGCAAGGCGTCCGTCGCGGCCAGCATCGATCCCAGCACCGACGGATGGCGTCCAGGCCTCCGTTGTGGTTCCGGGAAACTTGTCCTGGGACGCGACACGTCGCGGCAACCATGCGCACGGGCCTCTCTCACCTAGGGATGGCGTACATGCCTCCTCCATACCTGGCAACCTGTCGGCGCTTCAAGCACCCACCGTGTACGGCGTCGAGGCCTACCCGGCGGCGCAAGACCGCTTCATCTACGCCACAGTACCAGGTCACAACTCATCACACGGGTTCCGCTTGCCTGGGAACGTCGTTGACGCTTCCAGCGCCCTGGAACCCATGTCCACGAATCCGACCACAGCTGGATTTCCAAGGGACGCCGTCCACGCGTCCTTGGTCAAGAATTGTACCACCTCGAATACCGCAGTCACTGTATCCTCCGCAGAGGCGGGCCTTGGCTCTTCGTGCGGATCACACGACAGCGCAGCGGAGCTGCAGCATACCATCGCGCAACTCCGTGTCACGACCAACGCCCTCATAGCGTCGAGTTCCAAGCTATGTCCTGCCATCTTGCCAACATTGTGCGCACTCAATGCCATGTTGGCTTCGGCCGCCGCACAAAACTTCGAGGTAAGCTCGCCCGAGAACCGTCGCAATCTCCGGCGTTCTCTCGCGGAGGTATCGGAGCAAGTGAACTGCTTGGCGGGGGCACATTTCGGAGTTCTGCCCGCCGTCCCGCCATCGCCGATTTCCTTCGCGCTACCGGAATTTCGCGGCTTCCAGGACGACGCCGAGGAATGGGTGGCAACCGTCAACGCTCTCGGAACGACTGAAGAGCAGAAGTGGGACATGGCCATAGATCGCCTGCGGGATGCTGCCGCAGCATGGCACAGGTACGAAGGCGTCAGGCAGCAGTCCTGGGCAGAATGGAGTGCAGCCCTGATTGCCGCTTTCGGACGGATTTCCTGTGACTCCAGCAAGTCCAGCTCGATCTTCCCCGAGGCCGAGGATGGAGCCCAGGCAGCGCCCCGCCTCGAGGCTGCAATCGTTCGTTGCAGCTCGTCAACGGAATGCTGCCAGGAGTTCCCTGCTGCTGACCCTGACCGAAGTGGCTGGAATCCTACACTACAGGTCCCGGACTCTGCATCGGTATTCGACCTGAAAATACCCCCACCAGACCTTCGTCCGGAGATACGGCCCTCGCGCTCGTCGTCTGAGGACATCGAGGCACTCAATCCTATTGTATTAGACACAACTGAACCCTACCAGACCACGATCATGCTCAGCCACGCAGACACTCGGCTACCAAGGAACGTTTCCTTCGAGAAAGCCCAGATACCTAGCTACGCTGAGGCCACTGCCATCGAGAACTTGCCGAGGACCAGCCCTCCTGCTGTTTCCTCCCAGCATACGATGTTTGCACATGACAGTTCGCCAGAAGCCACCGGCTCGACTACGTCTGGGAGTTCTGCTGTGGTATTTATGCCCAACCATGAGCTGCGTCCCATCTCATTTCAAGAAATGGCCCAAACGTCATCATGGCTGCCTCGCAGGGCATCCCGCTGCAGTTCAGTCCACCAGCGACGGTGGGACAAACACCAGCGTTTCCAGGTTACTCTGCGACCTTGCCGGAACAGTCAGGGCCGTCCACCTGAACTGCATTCTACGAGTTGTCAGGAAACGTTGCATCATGGACGAGTTCGACCACGGCGACAAAGTCAAGCCCACCCACCAAAAACTTTACCGCCAGCTCCGCGCGCGCACAGGACCCAGTCTCCATCACGACACGGTGAACGACCCAGACGACATAGCCAGTGTCGGCCGCCGGAGCCAATTTCGACAAACTTCCAGCGTGGTCGAGACCGACCACGACGATGTAGCCAACCTCGCCCACCTGAAGCACTGTCAACTGCTGCAGCTAGCCTTACCTACCAGAACATTGTCGTTTGGCCCAACGACAATGCTAGCAGTCATGGCCGAGTGTAATGACGAAAACCGAAACTGGAACTCTCTCTGGCACAGACTCGCATGCTAGGAAGGAAGAGGAGGAAGACGAAGCAGAATAAGAACAGCCGGCCTGCAGCAAAGGCGTTGTCTCTTATTTCTCGTCGCTTACAATATATATATATATATATATATATATATACTAAGGTTATTGGTCTGCAACAAAAACACCCAAATATTCGTTAAGAAATGAATTGACGTAGCCACCCCACGCAAACCTATTAAAGCAACTGATTGCCATTGTACATAACATGTCTTGAAGGATTTATCATCTCGTGAAGTTCTTCTTGGTCTTCCTCAGAGAAGCACTTTACAAATTTTTTTTGCGTGCGAAATCATTTGTCAGCATTACGAAGCATAATTACACCACGTAATTACTTGCTGACATAAAAAGAATATATTGCTATGTTTTATAAAAGGAATATATAGCTATAAGCGTTCATATGTGTGCCATCTGCACTCTTGTTGCGGTGTGGGAAGCTTCGGTTGAAGTGAATTTGTAATTTGTGACTGCTTTAGTTTTTTTAGAATAGCTCTACTTCATGTTCTTTCATAATAAAAGTTAAAAATCGATTATGTAAACTTGTTTCTTCGCTGTATGAATAACCAATTACGTGTCACTTTCGCGTGATCGCTCCTCAATAAATTAATAATATGAATTACAACGGCGAGAGCATGGCAAGAGTTGCAGTTACTTTCTTAGGTTTTACGACCCAAACTTAGGTTATTATGCTATACAGGGGACGCCATAATGGTAACCATCTGTCATTCAATAACGGGGCATACACCTCTATATTATTTGTGCGACCTATCTTCGTGGCAGTTGTTGCAGTGATGTACCCAGTTTGAAGTGGGGTTGCAAACTCCACGAAGCGATTGCAAAAGTCAGAGCAGTGGAGCCGCTTACTTGTTAAGCCCTACAGACAAGTGCTTTCTTTATGTCACACTCTAGCAAAGATAGGCAATCACTGTCACTCCCAGAGACGCTGAAATAACACTCACTAGAGCCACATGCTCGGAGATCCAAGTGTACGAAGTACTCGACGCGAAGTACCGTGAGGCACCAATTTCCTCGTGTTGCCTACAAGGCCAGTAATTGTGGTAAAGTATTTTGTTGGATCTTATGCAAGTGGACGCCGTATATGGCTCGTGAAATGCGAGCGGTGACGGTCAGCGGCGGCACAACGAATGAAAAGATGTGATGGGGCAAATACAACGTCGCGCAGCGTAACTACATATGATGCCGTCAAAACTTCATATAGTGGCTTTTACATTGGTGACGCGATACCTCAAGCACTGCAATACGACGGCAAGAACAGAGAAGTTTAGTGCGTAGTAGATACCTTCAAAGAGGCATCTTGAAATGTTATAAGAATGAGTTCTTCGATAGCGATAAATGATGAAACTTGCAGCACATTAGAAAGCACATGAACGAGAAAGGGTAGGCCGGATTACAAGGATTTATAAAGTAGTGGGATAATCATAGATGAACAGGTAAAACACCTCAGACTGGCTGGCCGAAGTTTCTATAGGAGGACCTATCTTTTTAAAAGGCACCTTGTCATCCTTGGCGTGTTAGTTTTAGAGGGGTTAGCGGTGACGTCATACTATGGTGGTGGTGTGTGTCCCTGCTGATGATCGCCGTATGAAAAGCGAAATACTAAAAAGAGACGAGTGCAGTCCTCGCTTCATTTTAGGTCAGGTGACATCACCACTAACCCTTTTAAAACTAACACACCAAGGATGACATGGCGCCTTTGAAAAAGATAGGCCCTTCTACCGAAACGTCGGCCAGCCAGTCTGAGGCACTTCACCTGCTCATCTGATATATATCCCACTGCGTTATTTTCATCTGACAGCTCCCATCAAGATTAAGGATATATAAAGGCCGATAACTGGGCAAGCTTAACACCACAAGGAAAGATGAATGGAAACAAAAAAGGGGAACATGAAGCACAAGCGCTGACTTTCCACTGAACATGTCTTCCCATGCACAGACCATAAATATAAACCCACGCGTGGTTTCTCACCGGTAGCAAACCAGTGCATAAGCGTATGGCAACCGGTATGAGCAACTAATAAAAATAAAAAACAATATTCAACCCTTCAAGTGTAAAATTTATGTATTTTGCAAGGCTAGAGGCGGGAAGTTGATGCATTATTTTTTTTTATATGCCAAGCCTCGATACTCTCTAGAGCTGTTTGGTTATGATGCTAATGACGCCTTGGCATTCTGCTAGTTTCTCTTAACTAGTGTTTACATTCACACTGTCGACAAGGCAAAGCCGTATTCGATAGATCATTGTTACGCACACCCAAATCGTCATTTCTTATCCTAAATTAAGTACACCATTCCGCCTGTGCTATGTATACAGCGTTTCATGACAGAGGGATCCTGTAAAAACATCCCAGGCACATCATATTGCTTCTCATCTGTGCCTAAGACCACTGCCTACACTATTTTTAGCTTTTTCATTTCTATTTCTGCTTCTTTGTTTACATGACGGCAAAATTCTCCTGATTTATTAGGGCATTAAAAAACCACAATAACATTGCATTTAACAACTACATTTTTTTAACCCCGTGCGTATTAGCCCAAAATAAGCAAATCGTCAAGGTGCTAGGAACTGTAAGATTCTTGGCCTGAGAAAATATTTGTCTAGATGTTCATGCGCTTGAACGTATTAGATGTATTTGTGTTCTGAAATGAAAAATATGATCACCAACTTACGGCAAGCACTGCATCAACAGCAATCGCTCTCACGAAAATGAAGTGAACACTTATTCGTTTCATATCTGCATTGGCTATGCAAGCTGACGTGTACTTATACAAATGTGCTCATTACGAGAAAGAAGCGTCAGACTAAATTGGAAACTGCAAAGTTATCTACGTGGTTTTAGTTGCATTTGTTCTCACGAAAAATTTATTTCAGACAAATATGCCCTCACAAAAAAAAACAGTTTTCACCTTTCTGAAAAAAAAAGGGAGGGGGCTAGAGAGCGTGTAAATAAAAAAAATGCCTAAAGCCCCACCTTTGCTCCCCTAAGATGACTTGAAATTTACAGCCTTCTTCGATCTCAGTTGATGTATCGATGCTGCCCCGCCCCCTTCGAAAGCTATTGGCCTCTAAAATGGTTTTGTACGCCCATCAAAATCGGAGGCCCGCCACTTAGTATTGTATCGCTTCAAAAATCAAACTACGCTTGACCAAGCTACGATGTCACGTGCTGAGACTATAAGGTGACGTTAAAATACCTGATGTCATATTAAGTTGGCAAATTGCACTACTTGTGAACTTATCGGGGCATTATTTGGTGATATCATCACGCGACTACTTGTCGCAGCCTTCGTTAGCGGTGCCGACGAGGACACTTTCCGCTCGAAGAGACGTTTAAGAGTTCATTTAAAGAGATTACAACTGGCAAGGACTTACCTTCGTCGGCAGGCGTGAAAATATTCACGCCTGTTCTAACTAGTACGCATGAGGCGCTGAAGTTCATCCTAGGAAAAGAACTAACTGAATTAGAACTAGTTGCCTTATACGTCTTGTAACATGAAACGCATTCTTTTGTTTCTACGAAAAATCATGTCACCAATACCTGTGGACAAGAATGTAGTTGTGCGTTATATAACACAAAACAAACAAAAAAAACCTAATTTTCTAACTACGGGATGACATACTCATACCACAAAGCAACCAAAAGTTTCTTCAATGGTAAAGTCTCAACTGCCTTATCATAATTATTTTCACTGTGAGTTAAATAAGTAAATACCGATTGTGAAAGATCAAACGGAACCCCAGCAAGTGGGACAGCTTAAAGAAGCTTATGCCACCTTCACATGCATTGAAAATTCATAATTATTTGCCAGTGTACTCGTTTGACTTATAAGCTAAGAATAATAGGGGTTTTATATCTTTTCCAAAATATAAGTTTCATTTCAACACGCGAATGCTAGAGACGGCGGAGTGTATTTGCAGCTACGTGGTCTTGGCATTTGCCTTTTATTAGGCTGTCTAAATTAATTTTTCTCAACTTTATTTATTGCTTCTGTTTTCTTGCTTTATCTAAGTACTTTTTTATTTTTCTTTATTTGCTTCCTCTTTTTCTCTCTGTGTTCTTGTGTTGCTCTTCGTTTCTCTCACCCACTTCATTCAATTGTTTTCCTCTCGCTTTCTCTCTCTTTCTTTGTCGCTTGCTTCATCCCTAATTCTTTTCATTTTTTTCTCTCTCTGAAGAGGTTTTTCTCCCCCTTTTTTGTTCTTTCACTTTCTCTTTCTTTTTTTCTTTGTGCATGCCCCGCCGTGGTGGTCCAGTGGCTAAGGTACTCGGCTGCTGACCAGAAAGTTGCGGAATCGAATTTGGGCTGCGGTGGCTACAATTTCGATGCAGGCGAAAATGCTGTAAACCCGTGTGCTTAGATTTGTGTGCACGTTGATGAACCCCAGGTGGTCGAAATTTCCGAAGCCCTCTACAACGGCGTTTCCCATAATCCTATGAAGTTTCGGGGCCCTAAACCCTACATATCAATCAATCAATCAATCGATCGATCAATCAATCGATTAATTACTTATCTTTGTACATCTCTTTCTGTCTATTGCTCTCTTTCTCGTAGTTTCTATGAAATGCTATACTCGCTTGCCTCCTCCTTCTCATCCTGCTCGCCATCACATGTTTCACTTTTTCACTCGCTCCGCTTTCCCGCGTCCATGCTCCACAGTGCTTTGCAACGCTATGCTACACTCTACTAGCATGTCTGGATAGCACGACCGGTTGAGACGCTTGTGTACAGATTGAGTGCACAGCGGTTCGAATGCCACCGTGATTCTCACTTCATTATATATATACCGCACCTTGAATACAACTATAACATTTATACTCTGACTTTTATAAATATATTGTGCATACTAACGTTTGCAGCGCGTGGTAATAACACCTATTTAATGAAATATACTTAATTGTTGTAGCTCACTGTTTGTCGTCATCGGCGCACTTGACCAGCACATCGTAAGTTAAAGTGTTTGTACTTTTATTAGTCTTTATTGCTTTTGTCCGGATGCATGTTACATTCAAGAACTTGCTGCTTGAGTACAAATAAATGGTTCTATTTGTCATAAACTATATTAGGGAAAAAAACAAGATAACACCAGTTAATAAGTCTAGAGTAAGAATAATTTTTCAGCCCTTACTTTCTCCAAGTCTATTTGTGAACACATGCAACGCAGAAGTGATAAAAAGTAAAGTTTAGGAAAAACTAACATTCCTGATTTTTCTTAATTCACAATTACCAAAGTCAAAAGCAGCTCGACACAATTCTGCGGGATCTTAAACATAAGCCAAAGTAGATAGTTGTGCTGGATTGTAGAGTCATGACAGATTAAAATTTCATGCTGGTATGTTTGTTTTTCCACATCATAGAATATAACCGCTCAATAAATAAAACAATAACATAAATGACTATATGCAGACCAGTTGGTACTTAAAATGAAAACTGGCTCATAAAACATGTTCACACTTCTCCTAACATATATACTTTATAAGAATCGGCAATAACGGTAAAGCGTTTGGTTTCTGTTATTCATATTAGGCAGAAGTTTAGTCGAAAGTAAGTGAGAAACTAGATGCTGCTATTTCCTAATTACAGATAAAACATTACTTCTCTGTATGATTGTGCGCCTCACAGATAATTTCATAGCGTAAGTAGGGTATCTTTATTGGGATAGTTAGGTACGGCCAATTTCAAAGCGTTCAACAGTTTAGTCCTGTTCTCAACTCATTTTCGTAGATGCTATGCTTCTTGAGTTCATGGCAATCTAGGTAGAATTATATGTCATAGTCAAGCAGCCTCAAGTAGAACTGATCAGTAAGTCTGATTGTAGGTGCGGCCTTAGGTAGAAATGTTTTTAAGTAAGTGAACTCGAGCATGAGTAAATTAGGCCGGCACCGACAGGACTGAACCTCAAAATATGTGTCAACCGAATTTAATGCCCTCCTTTTATTAGGCGAATGATTGTTAACAGCGTTTGACAAGAACAGTTAACAGTTAACAGCGTTTGACGAAAATTCGTACGTTGCAAAGGCTGTATGGTCACTCATTCTTCATCGAATGAAGGACATTGTCATAATATACTGCGGACGTCAGCGCAGCAGCGGAACCAGCAGTGCGTGCACATCATAGTGCCAATGTCGGGTTGCAACTACTTTGCATGAGAGTATGATGCATTGGCGGAATTTCCGAAGACTTTATCGATGATTGGCCACTGGGCACGGCGGCACAGCCAGTATGCGGTGGTCTCAAAATCCGTTTGTCTTCCTTCTACAATTCCTTGGATTGCTGGGCCCCCTTTTTGCCGAACCTTTCGATCTGCGAGTGGGAGATGCGCATGCGCCGCACCCTGCGACCAGCCTCATCTTTCCTTGCCGGTCATCAACTGCACACCCGGACCACCTGCCTCTACAGATATTAGCCACGTGGGCATCACTGATACCAGAAGCCGTCCAGGTGGCGCCGTTGCAGATTCCGGCTATATATAAGCGTCCTGTTCACTCCTCGGCCACTGGGCTCGGCGGAACAGCCAGTATGCGGTGGTCTCAAAATCCGTTTGTCTTCCTTCTACAGTTCCTTGGATTGCTGGGCCCCCTTTTTGCCGAACCTTTCGATCTGCGAGTGGGAGATGCGCATGCGCCGCACCCTGCGACCAGCCTCATCTTTCCTTGCCGGTCATCAACTGCACACCCGGACCACCTGCCTCTACAGATATTAGCCACGTGGGCATCACTGATACCAGAAGCCGTCCAGGTGGCGCCGTTGCAGATTCCGGCTATGTATGAGCGTCCTGTTCACTCCTCGGCCACTGGGCACGGCGGCACAGCCAGTATGCGGTGGTCTCAAAATCCGTTTGTCTTCCTTCTACAGGTGAGCAGGCGTTACGGAAAATGCTTTCGCTCAGGTGACCCGTTCTTACTTGTGCTGCCGTGCCCATGGTCTTCTGGTGTGTTTTATGTTTCTGGCTTGTTGCGACAACTGCTCCTTCTGGGCGGAGACATTGAGACCAATCCTGGTCCTGATTTGGCTAAAATTGCTAAACAACTAGAGAGCATAGCCACTGACATAAAGAACATAAAAGAAAAGCGACTAACCGATATAGAGAAAAAATTGGACGCCTTGACTATTTTAGAGAACAAAATTGCTGCTTGCCAAACTCAAATAGCTTCTATGAGCACCGTAATTCATCAACTAGAAAAGCAGGTTGATCAGCTCGAAAACCATAGTAGAAGATCAAACCTAATAGTGTACGGTTTACCGGAAAGGGACAACGAGACCAGTGACACACTTGAAGACGTTGTCAACAAAGAAGTAATTCAAGACTTGTTGGAACTTGAACCAATTAGGATTGAGCGCATCCATGGAATAGGTAGGCCTGCACCAAACAAGATTAGACCAGTTATGTTTAAGCTGCAAGACGCACACGACAAGATCTCAATTCTTAAGCAAGGATCTAAGCTAAAAGGTTCAGATTTCTCCATTGGTGAAGATTTCTCCCGTAGAGTGCGAGATGTCAGACGTAAACTGTGGGCAAGTTCGAATCCTAACCGCGACAAAAAAGAGAAAGTGTCGCTAGTTTTCGACAAACTATTCATCAATAGCAACGTTTACACTTGGAATACCGAAAAAGATGAACGCCTACTCCTACGAAAAAACGACGAACGAAAACCAAATCGTCCACAGACGAGGCAACAGGCTCAAACATTAAACAACGCATCATGATCAAAAATACTTCCAAAAGGCCAATCAACCGAAAAACCAGGAACACCCCTAACAGTAATGCGAACCCAACCAAAGAAAAGCAACTGCGCCTGCTGAACCTGAATGCTCGTAATCTAATAAATAAAACTGACGAGCTTGAAATTATCTTGCTTCAAAATGACCCGCACATTGTCGTAGTGACTGAAACTTGGCTCCGAAGCGACATATCAGATGACAGCGTCTTTCCCGCATCCTATCAGATCTTACGTAAAGACAGGGCTTCCAGAGGCGGGGGCGTTGCTGTTCTTTTGAAGAACAACATACGGGTCGTTTTGTTGCCTGATACCGACGAACTTGAATGCCTGTGCATGATGGTTTTGTGCTAGGGGTACTCTTTCATTCTTTACGCGCTTTACAGGCCTCCTGATTCCCCATCAGAATATCTAACTAGACTTCGAGAGCACATGTCGAAATATGTGAACAGCAAAGTTTTTCTGATTGGGGACTTTAACCTTCCAGGGATTGACTGGAAACGATTGATGGCTGGTTCAGAATTTTTGAAACACACAAACGTAGTGTTTGATATCATGCTTACACATAACCTAATACAAGTAGTAAACAAACCAACTCGTGTACAGGGCCTTTGTAGTTCCCTTCTGGATCTTGTATTTATTCCCCGTAATTTTGACCGATACTGTGTTACAATAGAACCCGGGATATCTGACCACCACTTAGTATGCGTTACTTTACCCCTTCTCAAGTTAAGCTCCCAAGATAGGTCGACGACACGGCGCTTCAAAGATTACTCACGAGCTAATGACAAATCTGTACTTGACCATCTAGAATTATGTCTTGCTAATTTTCGTGGTGATGACGTTTGCAACCTATGGGGCCGGTTCAAAGACATGTGCCATTACTGCCTTGACAACTTTATACCGAGCAAGCGCAAAAAAATTCACAATTGTACACCCTGGATAACACGCAAAATTGTTCACTTGAAACGCAAACTTAAATTATTAAAAAAGAAGAAGGCATAGTCTGACGTTATCACTGAGATTAAAAATTCTTTGCAAAACGCAGTGCGCTGCTCAAAGGACCACTACTTTCAAACCCTCCTACCAAACTTCATAAAAAATGATCCTGATAAGTTTTGGCATTACATTACTGATAAAAGGCAGCCTGTAAGGGAAATGAAAATCGATGGGGACCTCGTTTCTGACCCTGCAATTATTGCTAAATATTTTAATCATTATTTTCACAGTGTGTTTTCTCCTGCGCAAACGTATCCACTGTTAATATCAGATCTTGGCATTTACGACGCTGACTTTGTATTTTACTCTGGTGTACTATCTATGCTGTTAAATTTGAAAACCAAGTCTTCATGTGGTGCACACCAGATTCCAAACGCCTTTTTACGCAGATATGCCGAAATACTTGCTAAGTTTCTTGTAGTGATATTTCGTACTTCTTTGTCCACTGGGAAGCTGCCGAGTGACTGGAGGATGGCTCTGATTGTTCCCGTTTTTAAAAAAGGTGACCGGTCCAGCTTTCAAAATTACCGTCCTATATCTTTAACGTCTCAATGCTGCAAGATCATTGAACATATTATTTCCAAACAGATTTTTGAATTTCTAGACGAAAATGCCGTACTAACAAATTTTCAACACGGTTTTAGAAAAGGTTATTCCACGGCAACCCAATTGGTGACAATAATTCATTCGTTCGCAGCGTGTCGTGACAATAACGGCCAAATTGATGCTATATTTTCAGATTTCAAAAAAGCTTTCGACAAGGTACCACACGACAAACTAATAGCAAAACTTAAAAACATTCACATTCCGGATATTTTTGTTTCCTGGATTGCAGCCTACCTATCCAACCGCCAACAGCTTGTAAAAATTAACGAAAAAGAATCTCGGTGTCTTCCTATCACCTCTGGGGTTCCACAAGGTAGTGTTTTGGGACCATTGCTTTTTTTTGTTGTATATTAACGATTTAGTAACTGTTGTTGACCCCTACTGTTCAAATTCGATTGTTCGCTGACGACTGTGTTTTGTTTCGGGAAGTCACATGTACTAATGATCAGAACGAACTCGAGAAAAACATTGAAAACGTGCGGGAGTGGTGTGTAGAATGGGGAATGGAATTAAATTTGGAAAAAAGTGTATATCTCTCTGTAACGAGAAAGAAAAACCCTAGTGAACACGTGTATAAATTAGGATCGTCTTCTCTCACACAGGTTGACAGTTATAAGTACCTCAGCGTTACGCTAACAAACAACTTATCATGGAACATGCACATAGATAATATTTGCTCGTCTGCCTTTCGAAAATTATGCTTCCTAAGATATAAGCTCAGAAATTCCCCTCCA